CACACACACATATCATGTACATCTAGACATGCAAAGTGTTTCTCTATATGTTTTCATCGGAGTTGTTCACAATACTAATCCATCCACAGAGTTTGTGATGTAGTCAAATGTTTACAAATACAAGCGCAGCCGTTTAGAGGTCATTTCTGGTTAATGATGTCAGAATTTAGTGGTATTTTGGAATGGATGTGTGAATGCTCTTTTCCAGAAAAATTCCGTAACGTCCTCGCCTATGTGAACAGCGCTTTTTTTGAATTTACCGATTAAGTCGTTCCGGAAATTTTCCAGATATTTACCGGTATCACTGTGTGAAAGAGGTTATTGCAAAGACAAATGTAAAAATTGGTTATTAAAACATGTATTGGTTATTTAAATAAAATTTCACAAGAACAATCTCTATTAAAGTTATAGATTATTTAAAGATTGTTTAAGTATGTGTTCAAAGATACAGTGGTTCCTTGTTAATCGCTGGAGATACCGTCTAAAGATAGCAATAGGTGAAGTCTGCTTTATTTTTTACATTTATTCTAGATGTTTTAAGGATGTAAAACTTTTTATTTTCTCAGGCATTTTCACACTTTTCTCGCTTGTTTAACCACTCACGTAACGTCTACCTTCCTTTAGTATGTTCAGAAGTCCAACTTTTTGTGCGATGGTTAGCATCTTCCTCTGCCTTTTGGGTGCTGTTGTGGGTGCAGAATGTTTCGTCGACATTGTGGGGAGAAAACACACAGTACAGCACTTCAGAGTCACACTGCGAGCGATCGAAGATTTCGGTAAATTTGGCAAGCTGAACGCATTCTGTACTGTACAGGACACAAGGCATGGAGGAGATTTAGTGACAATGATCTATAGCTAATCAGGACGCAGAACAGTGCGCACAAAAACAAAAAACAAAAAGATCAACAATCTTTGTTGAATACGTACCCCCGTATAGATTTCTAGAGAGCACGAATTATGTAGCCATATTGCTGTATTTCATCTTTAAAATGAACGCTACAGGGCGGTTTGACGATGCTGACGGCTTCTGTTTTTTTTCCCGCTACCAGCTGAATGCTTACCTCCATGTGAACAGCTTTTCCGCTGTTAACAGTTTGCCCAGTAGCTCACCATGTATGTCAGTGAACTTGAGATGCAGAGAGGAGTTGACCACAATGACAAGGTTCGAGTCCGGCGAAGAATGATTCCAAAAAGCATGTAAAACAAAAACAAAAGGCAAAACATAAAATAAGCAAGTAAATAACAGGGTGAAAATGTGGTAAAGTCTGAAAACATGGTAAAAATCAGACGAGAGCTTTTCTTTTTCTGGATTGCTTTTTAAAACTGTCAGTTGGGTTTAGGGAAGTGGGTGGGCGGGTCAATTGGTGCTATTGAAAACTGGAATCTGTTTGGTTCAGGGAAAGGGATGGGTGGGGGATCAGTCGATCAATCAGTCAGTCAGTCGACAGCGGCCTCTGGTGGATCTACGTGAGAACAGCAGGTGCGAATGGCACTCGCAAGAGAAATTTAAGATCTGAAAAAGTGTACACAGCGCCCTCCGGTGGATTTGCAAAAACAAAAACTGCAAAAAGAGTACCTCAAGGGATGTATTTCGCAATCTCCAAAAATGTATATAGGGGTACATATCTATAATGAACCTGGGTTGGCTAAATATAGTGTTTCCTGGAGCACTTTACTACAGCTCTCTGATTGGAGGAATTGTGTGTACAGCCTTATGGGTCATGTAGTTTTTATTTTCCTGCACAAATTCTGCAGATAAACAGATGTTTTAATAGTATATTTCACGAGTTCACACTCACAAATATTTGACTGCATAGAATATGCATATTTGGCGTGCTGTCCGGGGCTCTGAGCTCGGGAAGACACCCTAACTCCGCTTATCAGGATAGAGAGACACAGGGTGCGGGCACAGTGTCTAGCCCGGCTCCAGAACGCTCCCCCCTCAGGTTTAAATAGGTATCGTGTTTAATACAGTGGAGTTGGGGTGGTGGAGGGATGCTGAAGTCAAGAGAAAACAAAGGTATGACGTGTTTGACTATTTATAAGGGTTTGGTCTTGAGCTGATTGAATAATGGAATGAATGCTCCTCCCGAAATGTGTTGACATTATTCTTTACATTCGTGACACGTTGCAGTGGCAACCATTCCAGACTTTCTACAAAAAACGTATGCGAATTTCACCTTCCATAAAATGTAGTATATGTGCTAAATGTCATATATTTAATGACAGATTTGTATGTGGGCTGAAATTAAGTGGCATGCATAATGACTCGAAATAAAAAAGGGTACATTTTAGTTATTTTGCAGCTTAGACGTTACATAAATATGATTAAACTCGGAACATATTTGAATAGAGGAAAACATAATTATACAAAGGGAGCAGAAGCAGTGACATTAGTGTAAATGAACATACTAATCAAACGCCCCAAAGGCTTACATTAGTAAAGGGCAAAGGGACGCCTGGTGGTATTAATAGCAGCATTTTTTAAGCCAGCTGTACCAAGGGGTGAATAAAAATGATAATGAAGGATCATTTGATGCTAATCTGAAATGCTGTGGCCATGCTGGGACAAATTAATGCGCTGTATTGCTCTGAGCACTGCTGTAATGTCCTGAAAGACCCTGTCATGTAGCAGCTTGCCGATAATTTGCCGTTCACATACAATTATGCTTTCTTTCCTACAGGCAGTGCTGCAGCAACAAATACTATTATATTAAGAGAGAGAATTCAGAATGAGTTAAAATATCGCTTTGCTTCCATCTAGTGGCGGCGTTGAGCATTTACAATGTTGCTGCTTGTATTATAAGTTTTCTGTTAAATAGAATAGCAGAACTTTATTACATTTAAACCATTGGGCCCTTTATTATTATTATTTTGTTGATTTTTTTTTTTTCTGTAGAGTCACTGAAGACCTCTGACCACGTCCCGTTGTGTGTTATTCCTGTAACTCTCACAGATAATGATGTGTCTGGCTGGATACTTAGAGCTAATCTGTCACCTCCGAGAAAAAGATAACATATGATATTGGAGTCGCGCAGGACAGTCTCAAAACCTCAGACTGCTGTATTTGCTTCTGAATTTACAGAAATACTGCAAACAGCCGGTACTGAAAGTGAAAGGACGCTATATAAATACAGATGCATCGCTAAATATGAAAAGTTTAATGCAAAATCCTCTTTTTGACATCTAAAACATTCTCAGGTTCAATCATTTTGCTTTTATGTCAATGAACAAGGTATTCCCATTTCATGTAAAGTGAAACAACTGATCATAAACATAAGAGGTTGTTTTTGAAGGAAATCTCAGATGACATTTAAAGGTTTTTGCATCTGAACTCTTCATATTTATATATTTATTTGTTTGTTTATTTGTTTGTTTGCTTGTTTTATTTATTTATTTATTTGCTTATTTATTTATTTAAGTTTGGTTTTTGTTTGTTTGTTTATTTGTTTATTTGTTTGTTTATACTACCCATTTGAAATAATCTGAAACTACACAATTTATTGTGTTTGTTATTATTTATTTTTTTTATGTTCAATATACTTAAATTGGTCAAAACTAAATACCTTAATTCATTTAAGTTGGGACAACATGAATATTTATAGTACATTACAGCTTTCTTTTATCAGACTGATCAATAAATTAGAGCGCAGAGCGCTTTTAAATATAAATTTAAAAAAAAAAAGCTTTAGCCCTGAGGATCATGTCCCTGTGTGGAATGACAGAGGAATTGAGTTTTACGTTGTCTAATGTTTAGTCCCAGAGAGAGATATTACTGCAGTTTCACAGGGTAAAACCCAAGGGTGGTTTCCATGGTAAGAGAAACGAATATGGCAGACAGAAATTATAGTTTAATGTCATACTTTTTAAAGCATGTTTCATGTAATGTAGTCAATTTTTGTATATTTTTTTAAAATACTAATATAGTAAAATGTAGAAAAGGATTTTGCTTGCATGTTATTTTACATCTGTATTTCAGTCCATATATATATATATATATATACATATATATATATATATATATATATATATATATATATATATATATATATATATATATATATATATATATATATATATATATATATATATATATATATATATATATATATATATATATATATATATATATATATATATGCCTATAATTTTTATTTATTTTAAATGCAAGTATTTTATTTATATATTTTTATTCATTTTTATGTACAATTTTGCTCTATATATAAAGTTTGTCTATTCATGTTTTATATATAAAAGCACAGCAAATACAAAATAAAACAATTATGTAGAATAGTAAATATGTAACCATTTATATATATAATTATATGAATAGAATATATTTTAAATGAACCATATATAAATATAATATAATATAATATAGTTTTATATAATGTAATATAATATATTATAACCCTTAGATTAAGTTAATGTATAATAATAAATAAGATGTTTAATATATAAAAAGTAATATTTTAAAATAACGTTAACATATTATTTTTTATGCTTGCACAATATAATATATAACAGTAAAGTGATTGTAACAATACATTAAATAAATAAAAAATAATATTGAGTTGATGTAAGATAAATATTTTGTAGACAACTATAATAAAATACATTAACTTCATATTTGTTCCTAAAGTGTGTATTATTAAATAAATACTATAAGTTGAAAATAATATGTACTAATCAATTGTCATGCCGCATATACTATATGGTAAAATTGTGAAGGATTATTTTAATGTAATATTTAAAATATTGCAATATAACAAAAATGCCAATAATAAAATAGTAAAGTACAATATAAATTATTTAATTTTAAAATGTATAAATGCTAAAACTGTATATATCAATGTTTAATAATTTCAAAAATCAAAATCTACAGTTAATACAATATAAAAAATGGCAATGAATAGAATAGAATAGAATAGAATAGAATAGAATAGAATAGAATAGAATAGAATAGAATAGAATACTAAAACAGAACAGAATAGAATATTGTGCTGATGATGTGCTGACTTTTGCTGCTTGTTTAAACTACTGTGCTTGTTTGACAAAGTTCGTACGCATTCTTTGGAACAACATAATTGTTTTACGTTTAATCCACTTGGGTAAAAACGGTTGAGTTAACTTAATCGATTTGTGTTGGGACATCATGAAGTTATTGTGTGGAACAATGCGTTTTTACAGTGTAGCACTTTGTAGACCATTCCGCTTTGCATGGTATTAACGAGTATGACAGCGCCGTCTGCCGGTCACTGCTATAACTACGCCGCAATCTCCTCTCCTCTTCCCATTCCTCCTCTTTCCAGTGCTCGTGCAAGTAATAATGCGGTCAGGGGAGATTTTGGGCTTCGTTGGGGCGCAACGAGTCACCGGCGACCCACGGCGTAAAATGCGCATCCAACAAAGACGCATTTACATCTGAGAGCGTCTGATAACGAGAGATAATGATGAGATCAAGACGAGCGGACAACCACAGACCCCGCGATGCGACTGCTTTACCGCAGTGGATGCGCATGTATTTTTACGGGATGCACGGGGTGACGCTGGACATCCTGCTGTCCTCAATCCACCGGTTCCTGGACCACGGTGACCCCCAGCTGCTGGGATTCTCCTCTCCATATCTGTGCGTCGTCCACTCCTTTACGCATCTCGCTTTGGAGAAGATCTACCTGCAGAAAAGATGCTTCCAAGAGCGACCTGTCGTCTTTCACCTCGTCTTCTACCCGTGCCTCTACATCTGCCTGCAGATTTTAATCGGGAATCTGGTGACATGCACCGAAAGCATCACCGTCTCCGTCACGCAGCTCACAGTGCATTACATCCTCGCTTTATATTTCGCGTATTTCTTCCATAAACGCTTCCTGGGGCTGCACTATCAAAACACCGCGGCGAAATCCCACCTAAACGCGGTGCCCGGCGTCATGCGCTTCGTCTTTTTCGGCATGCACGGCTTTCTGGATGAGGTGCTCTTCACTTCTGTGTTTAATCTCTTTGAGAAGGGAGAACTGAGGGGGCACACGTCCCTCTGGTCGTTCCTGATGTATGGGAGCTGCAGTTTTGTAGTGGAGAAGCTCTACCTTTTTCTGCACTTTAGAAGAGGATGGGGGATTTCTCGGCGCCTCCCCATATACATCTGCTTCATCTACACATGGGAGTTCAGCTGGGGCTTTACTCTCAGGCGGTTTGGAGCATGCTCCTGGGACTATTCTCACTATCCTTTTCATTTCATGGGACTGGTGACGCTGATGTATCTTCCAGGATGGGTTTGCCTGAGTCTGTATCAGGACGTCTTGTCGAATGTTCTGCTCAGGATTGTGTATGATGGCAAGAGTTGGTGCCAATGGATGCCTGGTGCCAAAAGGGAAGCTTGAAGAAAACACGGATGTTGGGGTTTTCTTAATATAACCTCCCAGGACCAGCACAAAAAATGGCATTTGAATATTTCATACATGGAAACACTCTCTAAAATAAACAAAGAGAGAGATAGGTGTCACTTGGGCAGTATATTTACATCTTTGAACATGAAATGGTGTATACTGCTGGTACTCTGAAAAAAAAAATGGTTCATTGGATCTACTGTTTTTTTGTAAGGTAAGTGGTTGCAAATAAATATTATAGAGTTGAATTTAAACAAATAAATCAAGTTGAACTTTACTACATTTAATTTGTTTGGTTAAATTCAGCCCATATAAATTGTTTGAAACCAGTTAGCTTAAAAAATAGTAAATCTGAGTCCAGTGGCCCCTTTCCATAGAGTAGGACGGTTCGGTGCAGTATGATATGGTACACTTTTTATTGCCTATTTCCACAGAACAAATTAGTACATTAAGTGTACATTTTAGTATCCAAAAAGTACGAAAGTGTCCTTTTATAAAGGTACTGCGCTGGTGACAGCTCTCATCTTTATTTTTTGAGAGTGTATAGGGCTCGTTGTCACTCCGTTTTTAGTTTTAAATGTCAATGTTTGTATAGAGATATAGAACAAAACATAAAAACAAATACAATTGAAGTCAGAATTATTAGCCCCCCTTTAATTTATTATTATTTAATTATTTGTTTTTGTTTTTTTGTCTTTTTAAAATATTTTCCAAATGATGTTTAACATGCAGAGCAAGGACATTTCCACAGAATGTCTGATAATATTTTTTCTTCTGGAGAAAGTCTTATTTGTTTCATTTCGGCTAGAATAAAAACAGTTTTTAATTTTTCTAAAATCCATTTTAAGGTCAATATTATTAGCCCCTTCATGCTATATTTTTCCAATAGTCTATAGAACAAACCATCATTGTAAATAACTTGGCTAATTACCCTAACCTGCCTAGTTACCCTAATTAACCTAGTTAAGCCTTTAAATGTCACTTTAAGCTGTATAGAAGTGTCTTGAAAAAGATCTAGTCAAATATTATTTACTGTTGCCATGGCGAAAATAAAATAAAGCGGTTATTAGAAATGAGTTATTAAAACTATTATGTTTAGAAATGTGTTGAAAAAAATCTTCTCTCTGTTAAACAGATATTGAGGGAAAAATAACAGGGGGGCTCATAATTCTGACTTCAACTGCATATACAGTCATTTGAATGTGTCACACAGCACATAGAGTAATATGGAGAGGGGTCTGGATGCAGACCTAGTGCATATGCAAACTGAGCTGCATGCAATGCTTTTTTAATAGGCTCATCCATCCCTACCACTTGCGTTGCTGAGAGATGCAATCTCAGCTTGCATCATAAAGGCTGCATCCAGATACTATTGGTAAGTCACAATGGGGACCTAAATTAATGACATTAAATGGATAGTTCACCCTAAAAGGAAATTTTCCAAGGTCATTTAGTTCAAGAATTTCTTTCTTTTATTAAAGACAAGACTATATATACATATATATAGTAATATAGTAATAATATAATATATAGAATATAATATTATATATAGAGTAATAATATGATGAATAATTATTAATTTTATTAATATATTATTATTATTATTTATTACGTCATATGATATGCCATAACTCGGTAACACTTTACTTTTATATACATAGTGTATTATAAAAAACGTATTCCATTGATAATGTATTTTAAAACACAATGCATTGTATGAACTCATGAATAATGATACTGCTAGTTATAACTTGTGTCTCATTTTAGAAAGTAGGATGCTTTAAATTACCCAAATTCTGATGCAACAGAATCTGCATACATTACAATGCATTTAACGACAATTATTAATGCAAAAATATCAGTGAAGTGTTACCAATTAATAATTTACACCACTAACATTTGGTATCAGAGAAAAGTGCAGGATACGAACATATTCAAATGTTCTCCGAGGTTTAAAACATGAACTGCTGGATCTCAGGGGGATTCTTGTACCAGCGTTTCACCCTCAGAGAAGTGTTTCCTCAGAGAAACGAGCGTAGCTGCTTTAGCACCGTTAATGTGCTTTTAAATCTAATGAACCTTATGAACTGCCATTGCACAAACACACACACAGCAGGATTTCACAAATTACTAACACAAATAACACCGCTGGGCATTGATGGTTATTGAATATTGGGCGTCTGGATGATTGTTTTACTGCATGATGGAGTAACTGCATGCGTCGGGATTGTGCATGTCGAGACAGCAGCGTCTGATTCTCCCTGATAATGAGCCGCTGTAACTGTAGCTGAATCTCAGATAAACTGTGACTTTTTACAGAGAAATTCCTTTAACTTTTATCAGAACGAGAGCAACTGAGTGCCTTCATATTATTGCTTTAGGCAGCTGGACATCTGTAATCCAATCTCTGTTGAAGCATTAAAGGGGTAGTTCACTCAAAAAATGTAAATTTGCTCACTATTTACTCTCAAGTGAATCCAAACTTTCATTTTTTTTCTGTTGAACACTAAATAATGGAAGTCCACTGCATAATACATATGCTAGAATAGTTGGTGGTTCATTCCCCTGTGGCGACCCTTAATAAATAAGGGACTAATCCGAAGGAAAATTAACAAATGAACACTAGATACCCTAACGAAAGATCCACTTATTGTCATAGTAGGAAAAACAAATACCTGGAAGTCAGTGGTTACATGTATGCAACATTTTTCAAAGTATCTTCTTTTGTGTTTAACAGGAAAAAAAAGAGACTCATGGAAAAAAAAGTAAAGGGTGAGTAAATGATGACCAGATTGAAATTTGTGGGTGAACTATCCCTTTAAAATTAACAAGTTCAGAGATATCTCAATTCTTTCTTTTGTAAAATCAAGGAGCAACGAAGAACTATTGTTAGATCGTGGTACTAGAATCTCTACGGCAGCTAAAGCTAAGCATTTATGAATGACTCTGTCTCAAAATATACTGATATTTTATAAACAGTTCATCTTTATCAAACCTATGAGCACCGTGCACTGTGAATTACTATACTGTGATCCTCATACGAGTCTGTTAATGGCTGGAAGTCAAAAGTTGGGAGTATTTTTGAGAAAGAGAAGTCTGTTATGCTTATCAATCATAATTGATCGTAATCAAGCACTTAATTAGCATACTAGAATGAGTTCAGTGCATAGCACTGTCACTTAACGGCACGAAGGTCGCAGGTTCGAGTCCTGTGCCAGTTGGCATGTCTGTGTGGAGTATGCATGTTCTCCTCGTGGATTTCCTCCGGGTGCTCTGGTTTTCCTCACACTCCAAACACATGTGCTGTAGTTGAGTTGGATAAACCAATAGTGTATGAGTAAAACATATGCTACAATAGTTGGCGGTTCATTCCACTGTGGTAACTCCTGATGAATAAGGGACTAAACCAAAGGAAAATGAATAAATGAATGATTTCCAAAGGACCAAGTGACTTCAGATGAACATTGAAGATTCTGATTAATATTGCTGAATCTTGTGATATAAATTAGGCTTAGCGTACGTTCACACCGAAAGCGGCGAGAGCGTCAAAGTAGCCGGAAGTCATTCATTTTCAATGAGAGCCGGGCGGGGATAAGAGTAGAGGAGAGTTGAAATCAAGTCAACTTTATGGTAATGAGCTATGACGCGGTTCGGCGGCAACCAATCAGAATGAAGAAGTCCACCGCTTGATAGAAGTTCAGAGAACACAGAACTGTGAACTTTGGTTCCGACCACAGTTGTTCCCAAGGGTTTGATGATTGTGGTCGTCGGATTTACAATGTTTTCAAAGGAACATGCATTAAATAAGTTACTGGCGAGTTACTGATGTTCATTAAAGTTATATAAATTTATCTCAAACAAGCGGGAAACTCACGCGACTTGACAGTACTAAACAGTATAGCTGCTTCAGGATATTTCAGACATATGGACACATATTGAATAAATAAAGCAAAGCCACACCAGACGCAACTTAATCTTCCATTGTTATATGAATTTGATAAGAAGTGCGCAACATTTTCAAGCTAGAAACATGTTTTATGCAGGAATGTAACTGATATGCTGCAACGGCTCCTTTAAATACGAGATCAATGTAGCGAGTTTAGACGCTCTCGCCGCTTTCGGTGTGAACGTACGGTTAGTCTTTATCTCAGAGGTTGCCACAGCTATTTCAGCTATGTTTTAAGCAGCAGATGCCCTTCCAGCTGCAACCTAATAGTGGGAATCACCCATACACTCTCCTATTTACTCTTACACTCATACACCACAATCAAATTCACCTACAGCGCATGTGTTTGGACTGTGGGGGAAACCGGAGCACCCGGAGGAAACCCACACCAACACGGGGAGAACATGCAAACTCCACAGAGAAATGCCAACTGGCCCAGCTAGAACTCGAACCAGTGACCTTCTTGCTGTGAGACGACATTGCTAACCATCGAGTTATTTCAAGTTATGATAATTATTCACAGCATTGCTGTCTATTTAATGCAGAAATATTGAATTATTCCGAACTTTTGAACTCCTGCTTTTTTTAACTCTTTGTGAAAGATTCATTTTCCAAAAGAGAAACTGCCAAAGCTTAGAATTATAAATCTTCAGCCTCAAAACTCGGAGAGGAATAGATATGCTTTCTAAGAATGACATTGTGTACTGTGAACAAAAGTGTCTTCATGCATGTGCTCACTTTCTTGATGTAAAGGCTCTCGGCAGCTTCTCAAATGTACTGTTTTTGTTTCCCTCTGGATTTAAGAGGAAAATACTTTATGTAATCGCAGGAATGGGTTGGTGATGATTGTTATCATGTCACGTTTGTTTACGCACTTACCCAAACGGCTAGATCACTTTAAAGGGATAGCTCAACCAAAAATGATCTCTTCTCCTTGTGTGGTTTTACTAGAAAACCACATAGAGGAGATATTTTGAAGAATGCTGGTTGCTTGAACACATTAAATTCCTTAGAAGAAATCAAGTTTACTATGGAAGCCAGTGGGTGTTACTAGCATTCTTCAAAATGTCTTCGTTTGTGTTGAACAGAAGGAAGGAACTCAAATAAGATTGAAACAATTGGGCTAAAAACATAGAATAGTTGGCGGTTCATTCCGCTGTGGCGACCCCTCATAAATAAGACTAAGCCGAAGGAAAATAAATGAATGAATAAGTAAACGATGACAGAATTGTACATTTTTGGGTGAACTATCCCTTAATTGAGTCTTTATTTATTAAGTTTTCAATTTGTAGCACATCTTTTTGTTTGTCTCAGACTATGCACTCGTCATCACACTGAACAAATTAAAGAGATGAAGTATAATGTGTGTGTGTGTGTGTGGTGTATCTGAGTGTTGTTATGGTGACTGCTCTCGATGCTCTGGTCCACGCAAGAGAGATTTGGCTGTCACGCTGAAGGGACCTGCTTACTTTCCACATCTGACGTCAAGAAACAAAACAGGCTGGTTTACATACACACGTCTCAAGTGATTGTTGTCTCTTAAGACTCGATCCACTAGAAGAGATGATCAAATGAATGCTAATTATATCTATATGCTGACCAAAGCGTGCCGTTATACTGTTTTATTGGTCTCCTACACACTGAAAATTAGATGATTAAAGGGATTTACTAATTGTTTTTAAGGTAGGTAGTTGCAAACAGTTTATATTTGCTGCATTTAA